AGTTTCTTAACACAGTGAACTACATTTATTTTTCAAATGTTAATATCAATTTAGTATTCCAGAGATGAACCTCACATAGTCATATCTTATATATTACCCATTTTATGTGTTGTTATGTTTATTTTGTTAAGGTTTTTTTTTGCAGATGTGTTCCTAAGCACTATCTATTGTTGTCAGCATAATGCTGATTCGTTGGGGTGACTTGTAATGTTTGTCCGTTTCATTCTTTGTATAGAAGTGGTAGTATTTGTCTCTGTACCTTTGGGAACATTTACCAACAGAGCCATGTGATCCTGGAGTTTTCTTTGTAAGATGTTTATAACTACATATTTAATTCTTAAAATGAATATTTGGTTATTCAGGCTGTATCTTTATGCTTTAATAGGTTCAGTATTTTACCCATTTTAAGGAACCTGTCTTTCACCTATATTGCTGAATTTGTGGGTGTTAGTTGTTCACAATACTCACTATACTTTTTTTAAAAAATATTTTAATTTATTTGCTGTGCTGTGCTTATTTTGTCAGTTGCGCCTGACTCTTTGCGACCCCATGGACTGTAGCCCGCCGGGCTCTTCTATCCATAGAGATTCTCCAGGCAAGAATATGGAGTGCTCTCCTCCAGGGGAATCTTCCCAATCCAGGAATTGAACCCAGATCTCCCACTTTGCAGGCAGATTCTTTACCAGCTGAGCTACCAGGGAAGCACAGTCTGTGCTGGGTCTTAATTGTAGCATGTGCGATCTAGCTCACTACTAAGGATTGGACCTGGGCTCCCTGTGTTGGGAGTAGGGAGTGTTAGCCATTAGACACCAGGAAAAGTCCTCTTATCCTTTTAACATCTGTAGAAGCTATAGTGATACCACCTCTAACATTTTTTATATTGATAGTTTGTATTCCCTCTCTTTTTATTTTTCTTATCAGCCTGATAAGAGATTCAGTTGCTTTTAATGATCATCTCTAAGAACCAACTTTGGTTTCCATGATTTTCTTTATTTTCCTGTTTTCTTTTTCTGTTTTTGGTATCTGCTTTTTCCTTTCTTCTCTGTTTACTGTGGTGGGTTTCATTGTTCTCTTTCTTCTAGTTTCTTAAAGTAGAGGCTGAAGTGACTGATTTGAGACCTTTATCCTTTCCAATAGAGGCAATTAGTAAAACAAAATTTCCGCTGAGTAGTTCTTTGTTGTTTTTTAGTTGCTGGGTAGTTTCTTTGTTGTTTTTTAGTTGCTCAGTATTATTTGACTCTTCCACTACTCCATGAACTGTAGCCCACCAGGCTCCTCTGTCCATGGCATTTTCCAGGCAAGGTTACTGCAGTGGGTTGCCATTCCCTCCTCCAGGGGATCTTCCTCACCCAGGGATCCATCAAACCTGCGTCTCCTGCATTGTAGGCAGTTTCTTTACTGCTGAGCCACTGGTGAAATCTGAGTATTTCCTTAGGTTTTCCTAATTTTGATATACTGAACTTTCATTTCTCTTGTATTAAATGTATTTTCTAATTTCCATTGTGATTTCTTTCTTGGTTCATTGTTTATTGAGAAGTGTGTCATTTAGTTTCCAAATACTTGGAAATATTTGAACATTTGAGTTATTTTTCCCCTTTGGATTATTGCAGTTGAAGGCTTTTTAGTCATTTGTTTAACTGTCTTTGTATGGACTGATTTCTGATGTTTAATTTATAGTTAAATATGTACTTTATATGATGTGAATCTTTTAAATTTTTAAATTTTATTTATTTATTTATTTTTTTGAATCTTTTAAATTTTAATCAGTCTGATTTTACATCCCAGAATATAGTCTATTGGTAAATTTATACATTTAAAAAATGTTTATTTTTTTGTTTGTGGAATGTTCCATAAGTATCAATTATGTCAAAGTGGCTGATAACCATGTTCAGTTCTTCTATGTAGTTATTGATTTTCTGATCACTTGTTCTATCAGTTATTGAAAGGTGAATGTTGAAATCTAATATTTTCGTATTGTTGATTTCTCCTCTCAGTCCTCAATTTTTGCTTCATATATTTTGAAGATCTGTTTTTAAGTACCTAAACATTCAGGATTTTAATGTTTCTGTTCATGGATTGACTCATTTATAATTGTAAAATCACTCTCTTTATTCCCATTACACTCTTTGCTTTGAAATTTGCTGTTTATATAGCAAATCTGGGACTTCCTGGTGGCTTGGATGGTTAAGAATCTGCCTGCAATGCAGGAGACTTGGGCTTGACCCCAGGGTCGGGAAGATCCCATGGTGAAGGGATTGGCTACCCACTCTAGTATTCTTGCTGGGAGAATTCCATGGACAAAGGAGCCTGGCGGGCTACACTCCATCATATCACAGAGTTGGACACGACTGAGTGGCAAACACACATATACACACGCAGCAGATCTAGCTTTCGCATCTTTGCAGTTATTGCGGTATTTCTTACCTCTATCCTTTTACTTCTAGTCTACCTATCTGTGGTTTTATATTTCATTCTTATAATCAAGTTATAGTTTTTTTTTTAATCCAGTCTAGCAATGTTTGCTTTTTAATTGGGCTGTTTAATCATTTACAGTTCATATAATTGATATAGAAGTTGCTGAATTTAAATTTTGTGTCTTGGTTTTTGTTTTTTCTCTTTTTCTGTTCCATCAATTTTCCTGTCTTCTAGAAGAACTGAGTATTTTTGTGATTCTACTTTATCTCCTGTGTTGATATATTAGCTGTGACTCTGTTGTTTTAGTGTATGCTTTAGGAATTACACATCATAAACTTTATCACAGTGTACCATCAAGTAATATTGTACCACTTCAAATATGGTATAAGAATCTTACAACACTCTGCTTCCATTTTTCCTCTCCTAGAAATTCGTTTTTTTTTTAACCTTTTATTCTTACATATTTTATGAACTCTTTAATATATTGTTAATATTCTTCCTTTAATAGTTAATTATCTTTAAAATTATTTTAAAACAAAAAATATGTTATATTTACTTACATATTTATTATTTCCAATCTTTTATTCCTTTGCATAGATCCAGATTACTACTGGTATTATTTTCTTTTTACATGAAGAATTTTAAAAAATACAGTTATATTGTGCTGGTCTATTAATGCAAGGGTTTTACAGAAAATTATCCTGTAACAGGATAGTGTATAGTATATATTTTAGGCTTTGGGAGCCATATAATCTATCACAACTACTCAAATATGTCCTTGTATCAGGAAAACAGACTTGGATAATATGTAAATGACTTGATATGGCTGAGTTGCATATAAACTCTTATAAAAATAGTGGTCAATAGGTAAGAGGTGTCCTTTGCTAACTTCTTTTTTTTTTTTTTCCATTTATTTTTATTAGTTGGAGGCTAATTACTTTACATCATTACAGTAGTTTTTGTCATACATTGAAATGAATTAGCCATGGATTTACATGTATTCCCCATCCCAGTCCCCCCTCCCACCTCCCTCTCCACCCGATCCCTCTGGGTCTTCCCAGTGCACCAGGCCCGAGCACTTGTCTCATGCACCCAACCTTTGCTAACTTCTATGTTATTGAATAATCTTTCAGCTTTTTTATTTTTGAAAAACTCTATTTTATTTTTGTTTTAAAAATATATTTCTGTGGATATAGAATTCTAGTTTGACAGTTTTTTTCTTTTGCTGCTTTAAAGATGTTACTCCACTCTCTTCTGGCAAGAAATTTTCTTACTTTTAGTCACTGGTTTTATGTAACTTGAAAATAATGTGTTTGTTTATTGTTCTTGCTTTAGTATTTTATTTTAAGAATAAATCAGTTATTGTCTTTCTGGTTATTTGGGTTCTTTCCAGTCTTTGATATGAATTGTGCTGCCTTGAACATTGTAGTACACAGCTTTAGGTGACTTTATGCAGACATTTATTTGTAGTGGAATTGCTGGGTCATAGAAGAAGCATATTACCAATTTCAGTAGATACTAACACATGGTTTTTCAAAGTGATGGTACCATTTTACCGTCTCATCAGTGATGTATGAGAACTCTAGTTGTTCTGTATCCTCACTGACATTTGATATCATCAAATCCCTTTTGTTTTGGTCATTCCAGTGATGTCTAGTGATACTTACTTAGGATTATAATTTGTATTTAATCCTAATAAATACAAATCCTAATAAATACCTAATTAATACAAATAAAATTTTTTTTCCTTGAAGACTAGTTAATCCGAATACCTTTTTGTGTATACAAAGTTTTAAAACATGGGAACCTACTTTTCATTGTTTATGTGTGCATAAAAGTCTCTGTGGGATTGCTGAACACCCAATTTTGGTAGTTTCTATTTCTTGGGACAGAGAAGGGTGGGGGAATATGTTGGATAGGAGGGTGCACAGAGGCTCAATTTACAGCCTTATTGCTAAACCAGAAATAGATACAGGAATATCTAAAATGTTTCATTTCTTTAAAAAATTTAATTTTTTATAAAATATGCATAATGTAACATTTGCCATTCCTACCATTTTTAACTGTACACTTCATGACAATTTAGTACTTTTATGTGGTTATAGAACCATTACCATCACTCAAAAATTTTTTGAGAGGTCAGTTTGAATGCTTGATTTAGCACTACCGGGTTTTATAAAGATTGTCAGAGAAGAAAATTTTATACTTTATTTCTAAAGCAAGTGTAAATTCATATCCAGAAAACATAAAAATTTGACTATTTAAAGTTTGAACAGGCTTCCAAGGGTAAGATTTTTCTTGTCATGTTGTAAGGCATTTATAATTTTAAAGAATTTTGTATCTGGAGGTACATTGATTTCAAATGAAAGTAAATGAATCACATTAATTCAGCAGTTATGTTTTGCATATATCTATATGTATAGCACTATTTTGCATTATGGTATGGGTAAGTCATAAATAATTCCAATAAATGGTTCTTAGTTGCTTTTGCCTTAATCATTTTATGATATAGCAGTAATATTTTTCAAAGTCATCTGTTTAAATGTTCACTAACATTACCTGTACAATTACCTTTCCGTCTTCAGATTATGACTGTACCTAATGACCCGTATACCTTTCTGTCTTGTGGTGAAGATGGAACTGTTAGGTGGTTTGATACACGCATCAAAACTAGCTGTACAAAAGAAGATTGCAAAGATGTAAGAATCAAGTTTTTATATAAATAATGAAAAAAATTAAGATTAAAGTTGGACAGTAAGTTATCTCTGAGTTATGAGCTTATCAGTAAATTTAACATTTTTTTATTTTTAAAATCTTTAATAAATATGTATTTTAATTATAAAATAATTAGTTATTTTATAAATTTTAATTTTTTATTAAAAATTTTCTTAATTAAAATGTTGGTAGTGAAGTTAAGGAAGGTATATTAAACCAGGCAATTCAAATACATTTATGAAGATTTATATAATTGTTCAGTATATACCATGGCATTGTAAAAACTTGAAGTATTTCATTTATGTATGGAGGCAACTTTGGCTTTACCAGTAGCACTGATAAAAGCATATAGTAATTTGATGTCTTCTCTTTATTTTTACCCTGTCCTGTAATCCAAGATTTATTTATATATCTTTTGTTTTAGACAGTTAGGTTCCATTTTATCCACATGTTCATTGTTGATTTAGCTCATTTCTCTAAATATAGAGCTTCACTGTCAATTTTGTATTTTGGGGGGGAGTTGAATAAGAAGGGGGAGTTGAATAAGAAGGGGGAGTTGAATAAGAAGTGGATTTATTTAGAGTGTGGGCTGTGTCAGAAGCTGAGAGTGTGGCCTTAGTTTTATATTTTTTAAAATGATATTTTAAACTTGAAAAACACCTGTGAAATCAGTCAGTCTAAGGCCCCAGACTACTAACCCTAAATGTTACTCAGAGACAGTAGCTTTTGTCTCGGATCATTTTGGAGTTGTAAATGAAATAAGAAAATACTGCCAACCTATGGCTGAGATATACGGCAGAAACCAATCCAATACTGTGAAACAGTTATCTTCCAATTAAAAAGATTTTTAAAGTACTCTAAATACATTTTTCTTGACAGTTACCAAAAAAAGAATTATTAGTAACCAGGTTGTTAGTAACCCAGTCGTGTCTGACTCTTTGTGACTCTATGGACTGTAGCCCACCCTCCGGGATCCTCTGTCCGTGGGATTTTCCAGGCAGGAATCCCGGAGCGGGTTGCCATAATCAGGCTGAGTGTTCACTAATGAAGCTGGTTATTGTTGTTAACATGCCTTAGGAGAAGAGATTATTTTATACTTCAAAACAGAGAAGAAAAAGAAAAAATAGAAATAAAAAATTTTTATCAGTTTTTGTGTTGTATATATGTGTATACACATACAACTAGGAGTATTGAACTGAAGGCAGAAATAAGTTTGAAATAGTCGGTTGTTTATGAGGGGCATTTAGTATACCTGTTTTTTGTTAAATAATAAGTCCTAAAATTTGTTAAGTCAGATTCTTTTAAGCAGTATTGTACAGTGTAGTTGGATTTAATTTTGCTTTTATAATTAGAAACTTTGTTGTAAAACTAAAGAATAAATAAAACTAATAAGGGCTTCCCTGGTAGCTCAGTGGTAAAGAATCCACCTGACAATACGTGGAAGTGTGAGTTCAATCCCTGGGTCAGGAAGATCCCCTGGAGAAGGAAATGGTAACTCATTCCCGTATTCTTGCCTGGGAAGTCCCATGGACAGAGGAGCCTGGTGGGCTACAGTCCATGGGATTGCAAAAGAGTCAGACGCTGCTTAGCGACTAAAACAGCAACAGTAAAATATTGTTGTATTTTTCCTCAATAATACGTCTGAAGTCTTTATATGTAAAAGTGAATAGATACAGTATAAAAAAGCAGGTAAGTAGGGTAATTCTTAAGTACTAAAAATTTAGAATGAATAGAATTTGATGAATAAGTTCTTTGTAATAGGAATAAAGTCCTGAGGTCAATAATTAAATACATAAAACAGCATAACTGTACCTTAAAAACTTGACTTTTCTGAGAGGAATGAGGCATTAGCCTATAGACAAAAGAGTATATTAACAGAATACCTTAAGACTATATCTTTGGGATGATAGCCCTTACATTTTCTAATGCTTGTGTGGAGAGAAGTAGTGACATTATCATAAAGCCTGTCTTTGACGTAGTTTGTATATATGTGTGTACATACTTTGTTTTTGAACTGGTGAGGAGGATGGTTTTATAAGGTCATGATATTTTAAAATCAGGTCATGATACTTTTGTTATATTTTAATAACTAACTAAAATTAAGATATCATGAGTACCATATAAATAATCAATACACTTATCATAGACAAAGGTGGATTATACCTCCATCTTTACTGTCCAGTGGACCAATAATAGCAGACATTTTTAATGACATTAATGTAATGACATATTACATAGGAAATATTTGCATTTTCTAGTATTTCTAATTATAATGTTCATTTTATTCTTGAGTATGGGAATATTTAGGAAGCATGTTGTTTTTTCTGCTTCATTGTTATACTGGCTGAATTAGGATTTCTGAGAAAGATTTTCTTCTAATTGAAGGGAAAATGTTTTAAGTAGATTATTATCTGTTGTAAAACTTATGTAACTAATATTCTTTTATCTCTTGTAGGATATTTTAATCAACTGCCGACGTGCTGCCACATCTGTAGCTATTTGTCCACCAATACCATATTATCTTGCTGTTGGTTGTTCTGATAGCTCAGTACGTATATATGATCGGCGAATGCTAGGCACAAGAGCTACAGGTAAGAAGACATATATTAGAGAAAATATGAGACTGTATCAATTCAAAGGGTACATTTTTATGACCTGTTATGATTTTAAAATTTCTTTAGTTTGACATAAAATTCAATATATAGACCTTATTTAAAAACTATGAATTATTATAAAAAATAGCATTTCACCAAGTTTTTATGACCCCATCAAGGTGATGCTTTTGCAGTTTATCACTTTAGAATGTTGTAGCACTTCATGTATTAGTTTCCTGGAGCTGTCATAACAAATTATTATAAATTCAGTTGAGTTCAGTCACTCAGTCGTGTCCGACTCTTTGCGACGCCATGAGCCGCAGCACGCCAGGCCTCCCTGTCCATCACTAACTCCTGGAGTCTACCCAAACCCATGTCCATCGAGTCGGTGATGCCATCCACCCATCTCATCCTCTGTCGTCCCCTTCTCCTCCTGCCTTCAATCTTTCCCAGCATCAGGATCTTTCCAAATGAGCTAGCTCTTCGCATCAGGTGGCCAAAGTCTTGGAGCTTCAGCTTCAGCATCAGTCCTTCCAATGAACACCCATGACTGATCTCCTTTAGGATGGACTGTTTGGATCTCCTTGCAGTCCAAGGGACTCTTCAGAGTCTTCTCCAACACCACAGTTCAAAAGCATCGATTCTTTGGCGCTCAGCTTTCTTTATAGTACAGCTGCAACTCTCACATCTATACATGACCACTGGAAAAACCATAGCCTTGACTAGATGAACCTTGTTGGCAAAGTAATGTCTCTGCTTTTTCATATGCTGTCTAGGTTGGTTATAACTTTCCTTCCAAGGAGTAAGCGTCTTTTAATTTCATGGCTGCTGTCACCATCTGCAGTGATTTTGGAGCCCAGAAAAAGAAAGTCAGCCATTGTTTCCACTGTTTCCCCATCTATTTGCCATGAAGTGATGGGACCAGATGCCATGATCTTAGTTTTCTGAATGTTAAGCTTTAAACCAACTTTTTCACTCTCCCTTTTCACTTTCATCAAGAGGCTCTTTAGTTCTTCACTTTCTGCCATAAGGATGGTGTCATCTGCATATCTGAGGTTATTGATATTTCTCCCGGCAATCTTGATTCCAGCTTGTGCTTCTTCCAGCCCAGAGTTTCTCATGATGTACTCTGCATATAAGTTAAATAAACAGGGTGACAGTATACAGCCTTGACATACTCCTTTTCCTATTTGGAATCAGTCTGTTGTTCCATGTCCAGTTCTACCTGTTGCTTCCTGACCTGCATACAGGTTTCTCTAGAGGCAGGTTAGGTGGTCTGGTATTCCCATCTCTTTCAGAATTTTCCACAGTTTATTGTGATCCACACAGTCAAAGGCTTTGTCATAGTCATTAAAGCAGAAATAGATGTTTTTTTGGAACTCTCTTTCTTTTTTGATGATCCAGCGGATGTTGGCAATTTGATCTCTGGTTCCTCATCCTTTTCTAAAACCAGCTTGAACGTCTGGAGGTTCAAATTTCATGTACTGTTGAAGCCTGGCTTGGTGAATTTTGAGCATTACTTTACTAGCGTGTGAGATGAGTGCAATTGTGTGGTAGTTTGAGCATTCTTTGGCATTGCCTTTCTTTGGGATTGGAATGAAAGCTGACCTTTTCCAGTCCTGTGGCCCCCGCAGAATTTTCCAAATTTGTTGGCGTATTGAGTCCAGCACTTTCACAGCGTCATCTTGCAGGATTTGAAATAGCTCAACTGGAATTGCATTGGGTGACTTAAAATAACAAATTTATTCGCACATATGTGGAGGCTTAATGGCTGAAATCAAGGTGTTGCAGAGTGGTTTTCTGTTGGAGGCTGTCTGGAAGAATCTTTTGCCTGCTTTTTTCTTATATTCTGGAGGTTGCTGACACTCTTTAGCATCCCTTAGCTTTTAAATGTATCAGTCGAATTTCTAATTCCATCTTGACGTGCCATTCTCCCCTGTGTGTATCTCTGTCTACATTTCCCCCTCATAAGGACACTAGTTAAGTTGTATTTATTATCCACTGAAATCCACTCTGACCTCATCTTGATAATTATTGCATCTACAAAGACCTTATTTCTAAACAAGATCACATTCTGTGGTTCTTGGCATACATACGTTTTCAGGGGGCACACTTCAGCCCACAACACTTGGCTCTCCTGGTTTTTGTTTGCCATCTTTTCAATCAATAGTAAGCGTGGTGGGGAGAAAAGTTTAGGAAAGAACAGTGAGTTGGGTGTGTATTAATGTATATCATATGTTCATGCCTACTTCATAGTCTAGCTTCTTCTTGTTCAGTTGCTAAGTCGAGTCCAACTCTTTGTGACCCCGTGGACTGCAGCACACCAGGCTTCTCTGCCCTCCACTGTCTCCTGGCATTCGTGCAAACTCTTGTCCATTGAGTCAGTAATGCTATCTAATCATCTCATGTAGCCTAGCTAAAGTACTGTAAATGGTGCTGCAGTACTGAATTTGAATTTGCATTAAACTCTTTATTTGTTTCTCCTTTGCTTTGAGATCAAACCACTTCTGAAATATTCACTTCAAAGCCAACTTGTTAGGAAGGTCAAAATTTTCTGCCAAGGAATGTCAAGATTTCCTCTTTCTCACACACACATACACACCCCATATATACATAAAGATTTGTAAATAAAAATAAAAGTGGATTTGATCATAAATTAACAGTGTTTATCTCAATGTCAGTTTATGTCCAGTGAAAGTGGACATACAATGTTGAAATGGGAAAACCAGAGGGGATCTTTTTTCATTTTTTGCACTATGATTGAGAAGTCTTATCTATTTGAATAGACATATTTAATGGGAACAGTAGTAATATAATATGAAACTGTAGGCCCAACTATCATTTCTCACTGGTTGAGACATGATTGCTCTTTTGGGCAAGGCAAAACCCCAGAGTGCAAGATAATGCAGCTTTGTGTAAATTTAGCATTTCTGGGCCTGCAAAGCACCAAGTGCCAACTGTACCTCTCCCTGTTATATTGCATTATGTTGATGACCGTCAAAATTAATTAAAATTAAAGTGATATTCCCACTCTGTTATTTTATAAGAGGTGAATTTCACAGCAATATAAAATCTTTTAATGATATAAAGTAAAAGATAAATCTTATTAAAAAGATACTATACTGTTTTATCTAGTATATTAGTAAATGTTAACTTTCTGGTTTACCTTATGAAAATTATATTATCTTAATTTGGAGAATTTTAAGAGATTACTTAGTATGACTCTAATCCTCTAATCATAGATCATTTTAAATGATTAAATAGCTAATATTTTGGAAAAAAACCACATTGACTTAATCTGGAATTCTAGGAAATCATGAATTCTTTTTGGAAGATAATATAACCTTTATGCTGTATTCTTTTTCATTTTGTTACAAAATCTGACTGTTGATAACCAAGTCTTTTCCAGAAATAGAATATGATAGCTTGGATTTACTTTGCTACATTAAATACATATCTTATAATTCAGATGAGTTTTTAAAGTGTTTTTCTTGAAAAACATTGTAAATTGTAAACAGTTTCTTTTTTTATTATTAGGGAACTATGCCGGCCGAGGAACGACTGGGATGGTTGCTCGTTTTATCCCTTCCCATCTGAATAATAAGTCATGCAGGGTGACATCTCTGTGTTACAGTGAAGATGGTCAGGAGATTCTTGTTAGTTACTCTTCAGACTATATATATCTTTTTGACCCGAAAGATGATACAGCACGAGAACTTAAAACTCCTTCTGCAGAAGAGAGAAGAGAAGAGGTAAATTTCCTCAAAACTATGTTCTTTTATTCGATTCAGAAAACATTAACTCACTAACTCTTGGGGCATTAATTCAGTAACTACTAAATTTGAAGCCTTAAGGGCTTCAAAAAATAGTTTGTTTTCACGGCATTTACAGTCTGTGGAGCAAAGACATGAAACATGCATGAAAGAATGGGAGTAATAAGTTAGGAAAAGGTACCAGATGAAAGTATTGTATAATATTTTAAAGAGTAAATGTCTAGTAGCAAAATGTTTCTCCATGTTTATGAATGTATAGCAGCACCAAGAAAGAGTAACAGTTCTGATAGTTGCAGAAAAGGTAATTAAAATAATTTTAAAAAATGTGATATATAAGCTTCCAAGAGACTTAATGTTTATATTCATGCAAAAATATTTACTATTCACATGTGGATAGCCCTCCTTCCTCTCTTCGGATTCTGCCTTGTTCACAATCATGAGCTAGTGGCATGTATTATTATCTGTAGGTACATTTTATAAAATACACATGAGTGAGTGAGAAAAGGTAAGTTAAAATGTGTCTACATTCACACACAACACAACACATATACAGAATCAGGAGAGGAGGAGCTTGCTGTCTACATATGAATAGTAAATGGTAATAGGTGAAACTCCTGTTGGTACATGTATATAAACATTTTGTGCCTTGGAAGTTGATACATTACATTTTATATACAGATACATATGTATATGTATCTGTATACATACCTATATCTAGCAGGCTCTGGGAGTTGGTGATGGACAGGGAAGCCTGGTGTGCTGCAGTCCATGGGGTTGCAAAGAGTTGGACACAAATGAGTGACTGAACTGAACTGAACTGGTATCTATAGATACCCTTTTCTTCATCAATTTCTAGATACAGATATACTATGTTTTGAAAGATAGGTGAAAGAATTACTGTTCCTAAAATGACTTTAAAATAGTCAATCATTTTCTTATGAAAAGCAGACACCAGAAATAATATGTCATTGACAGTATACATCAGTAGAATAATGTTTGTCTCTTAAGCTTCTTTCACCTTGTATTTTTCACTTTGGGTTTTTTTGTTTTTTTTTTTTTTTTTTACATGTCATGTGTTTAACCACTCTATTCTTTGGATTGTTAATGTCTTTTGAAGTAAACCATTGCTTTTTATTAATTATCAGTGACTGTTAAGTATTGGTTCACCTCTTACTAATAATTTTAAAGGTACTAAAGAACAACAATGATTTTGTAATTCCTATGAGATGGAAAACTAAATCCATTTCTTATATTTGCAGGTTGACAGGGCTATAAAACAAAAAATCAAGATTACTTGTGGCACTGTATTTAACTGAATTAAGAGATTTATGAAGAGAGTATGTTGCTAATGAAAGCTATTTTTGAGATTATTGGTCTGATTGAAAATGTGAAATCTGTTCTGTTGTTACTGTGTAATTTCCTCTTGAAAGACTGAACTTTAGTAATGTTTCAGTCAAACTGTGTGAATGTTGTTACATAATGAAAGAGTTGGAAATGCAGAAACATTTTAAGCGAGCCAACTAGATTTTATGCCATAGAAAATTTAGCCAAAGGATGTTTATATAATCAGAGTGAATGAGGCTGAGTCATGAGCAGTTGTTTTTTTTAACATGTTTTTCTCAATGTTCTTTGTTGAATTAACTAAATTAAGAAAAATAATTCTGGAAATGGATTAAAAGTATAAAAATTATGCTTATTATAATAAATGAAACAATTTACAGGTCTGTCTAGGAAAAGAAATTAATAAACTGTCTTCCTCTTAATATAACCATCTTTTCTTTCAGTGTTTTATGTTAAATTTTTTGTGGTAATGTTCAGACAAGCTGTTCTCAGCTCACCAAATAATTATTTGGTATCTACTGTATGATAGTACAGTAAACTTGAGAAATCTACTAAACTTGAGAAAATCAAGGCTGACTGTTACAAAGATATGACCTGTCATTCAGGAGTTTGCAAATAAGTAGATAAAATAGTAAGATTTATAAGCAAATTGTGAAAGTTAAAATAACAATTATATGTAAGAATTAATGTTCCATATAAGTAGACCAAAGACAGAATAATTGTATTTAATTTGCAGCATAAGAAACTGTTGAGCAGGTTTTTAAAGTATTAATAAAAGTTTAATATATGATTTTTTTCTTGTGCTTTCATATTTTTATACTTTCTTAATTTGTAGGGGTCTCTTTTCCATATTATTTCCTTTGAGTGAGTGAAAGTTGGTCAGTTGTGTCGCGTCCAACTCTTTGCAACCCCATGGACTATATAGTCCATGGAATTCTCCAGGCCAGAATACTATAGTGGGTAGCCTTTTCCTTCTGCAGGATTATTTCCTACATCCTCTAATAATTTCTCTTTTGCTCCTGTTCCCTTTTTTTTGGCCATGTTGCACAGCATGTGGGGTCTCAGTTCCCCACCAGGGACTGAATCCTGGCTCTCACAATGAAAGCATGGAGTCCTAACCACTGGACCACCAGGGAGTTCATGTTCCCCTTCTTTATTTACCATATTCTTTTGTCTTATTCAGATTTTTTTTCCCACTTCTCCTTTTAGTTTGGTGTTCCTTTTTTCTTTTTATTGCCTTTTCTCTCTTCTTTCCTTTTTCTCTCATATCTTTTTGATGTTTTTTCCCCACCTGCCTAGCACATTATTGGATTGCTTTGTTGAATCCCATCTCGCATTTTCTCCTGGTCCTCATGATTTATCCCTAAAAGTTTTACACGTATCCTCAGCTTTTTGAAAGTTTGCTTCTATATCACTTTGCTTTTACTGAAGACCTGCATCAGTACCTGATCTCACTGACTAAAAAATCCAAAGAGGATTTTCACTTTTACAGAAAAGAAAGGTGAAAAGTGAAACTAGCACCTAGTGATTGTTTGCAGTGCGCACCCTGAGCAGCCAGTGCTACCACCACACTCCTTCCCAGGGAGCTACCCTTGGCATTTCAGTGTCAAGCTGCCCTGGCTTTGAATTGTGTTTATATCTCAGCATTAAGCTCTGTAGTGTTGAATTGCATCTGTAAACATCTGTGCCTTATCTTGATTTATTTTGTGCATCAGTTAGCAAGATGTGTCTTAATGTAATTGCTTCTTTGTGTTACTCCACTTTGACTTATGAAGGTTTTCATAGGAGCATTCTGCTTTCAGATAGCAGGGGAAACCTGTATCTAAAATGTGTTAGTATTACTTCCATTTTACCACTAACACTGATCCAAGGCATCAGCACCTCTCCTGGATTATTATGATAGCTTTCTTACTAGGTCTCTGCTTTCATTCCACTCTCTCCAATCCTTTAGTTACACAGTAGCCAAAGTAATCTTTTAAAACATAAGTCAAATCATGCCACTGTTCTGATTCACACTCCAAAATGGCCCACCACCTCACTCAAAACTGAGGTCCATATAGTGGATCTTATGTTACCTGGTTCTTGTCACTTCTGTGGCTCTCTCCTTTGTTTGCTCTGCTCTAGCCACATCTAGTTACTTATTGACTCAGGCAGGCTAAGTGTGCTTCTGCCTTACAGTTTTTGCATTTACTTTGCCTGAAATGACCTCCCCCAGATTATCTGGATTTCTTCTTCCTTTACCTCTTAAAGTGCTTTGCACTTGTTTTTTTCTCCATTAGACCCTAACATACCACGTTATTTAGAATTGTATCTCTTAATTCTCTGGTACTACCTCTCCCTTTTCCACTTGATTTTATTCTGTAACACAACTTTCTCTGTATATTTTACTTGTTTAATTTCACGTATTTTGTAAACTCTGTGACATTGAGAATTTATGTTTTGTCTGTTGATCTTTCCCTGATACCAAGTGTAGTGGCTGACACATAAAAGGTGCTGAAAAATTTTTTATGGAATGACTGACTGAATATCATTTTTAAGATTTTTTATGGAATGACTGATTGTACCATTTTCAGGATTCTTGACTAGATTATTTTGCATATCTCAAAAAATCAAACTTGGGACTGTTTTTAACTTGAAGATCTTGTTCCAGATATACTTGCTGAGATTATAACATCAGTTCTTTGCCTGTACGATATAAAAATTTCTCTCTTGTAACCATGGAACAGAGCTCTAGTTTGTTATTCTAAGTACAGTTTATATACAAGTGAGATTCTCTCTGGAAATGATTATTTGTCTGACATTTAAACAGCTACCACACCAGGCATCTTCTAATTGTTCCTTTTCACACTTGTGACGTCCTCTGCAGGTTTTGTTATTCTCAGTTGCTTTTAACCATACTTATATATAATATTGAAAAGAGAAATATCTTAATTTAAAAAATTGATAAAGGATTTGAATAGACATTTCTCCAGAAAAGGTGTACAAGTGGCCACTAAGCACATTTGGAGATGTTCGACATCACTGATCAAAGCCACGGTGAGGCACCACTGCATAGATTGACTGAAAAGCCAGTGACAAGTGTAAGCGTTCGTGACAATGTGGGGAAATCAGAGCTCTCATACATTACTGATAGGAGTATGAAATAGTGCAGGTGCCTTGGAAAACAGCTTGGCAGTTCCTCAAAATTTAAACATGGAAGCTATCATATGATTTAGCAATTCCATGCTAGGTTATATACCCAAGAAAATTGAAAACATGTCCCCATAAAAACTTGCACATATGTTCATAGCAGCATTAGTTACAATAGCCAAAAAGTGGAAAGAGCTGTTTTCATCAGCTGGTGAATGAGTAAACAAAATGTAGTATGTTTAAAAAGTGGAATGTTATTGAGCCATAAAAATAGCGATGAAATACTGACACATGCTACAGTGTGGATGCACCTTGAAAAATACTATGCTAAATGAAAGAAATAATACACAATGGCCACATATTATATTATTACACTTACATGATGTGTCCAGAATAAGCATATCCATAGAGACAGAGTGGATGAGTGGTTGTCAGGAGGAGAGTTGAGGGGCAAATGGGGAGTGATGAAAATGATCTGGATTAGTGAGATACAAGTAGCTGCATAGCTTTTGTGAATATATACCACTGATTTGTCTGCTTTAAAAGGATAAATATTTTTAAAAGGGTAAATATTATGGTATGTGAATTATACATCAATAAAAAGATGTTAAAAATGTGAAAGTTAAAGGGAGTGATTAAGAGTGTCAGATACCATATGTATCAAATAGAAGAATCTCTAAAAGGTGCCATTCAAATTGGAAATGGATTTTTGATCATTTTATCATTGATCAGTGAACTTAGCAATTGATCGTTCACTGGTGATATGAGTGAGAATTCCATGGAAAAATGAGTTGACTTCAGTGAATTGAGTGAAGAGTGGTAGATAAAAATAGAATAAATACAGACTTTTTAAAAGAAGATTGACAGTAAAGCTTCAGAAAGCATGTGAAAAGAATGTAGCTGAATAGAAATAGTAAATTGCAGTGTTTTACCTATTAAAAATGATAAGAACCTTTAGTATATTGTGAGGAAGAATCAAGAAAGAAGAGAGGAATGTAGGTATAGAAATAGAATAATTATTCAAGGAATGAAATAAAAAGCACAAATAGAGATTAGGCTTAAACACAACAAATGATCCATCAGCTAAGAAAGACTGGAAGAAATTAAGAAGTAGATAAGTTTATAGAATGAACTTGAGGAGATTGTTGTCGTTTCTATAGAACTGACTTTATTTTTTCTGAAGTAGTAGGAAGAGTTAGTAGCTGAGAATGGGAACAAGGTAAAGACACTGAGGTGAGTAATGCAGGTTGGCATAGATGCTGGGGGAGAACCAGAGAGCAAATGGTCAGTAATAATAAGAAAATAGTGGGTACTCCTATTGCCAACTAGGTGTGTAGCTACTTTACCTATACTATATTTATCATTCATAATAGAAAGCTTAGGTTTAATGTAGTTAGATAACTTTTCTCTTGTCAGTTGAAAAATGATGGGATTTGATATCACATTTACATGATTTTAAAGTTGCATTCAGTCTTTAGGTTGAAGATACTAAGTATAGGCTGTCAACATCAATGGATATTTATGGCTGTCTTTCATATTTTGGTTTTTTTGTTGTTTAGTCGCTAAGTCATGTCCAACTCTTTTTTAACCCCTTGGACTGTAGCCTGCCAGGCTCCTCTGTCCATGGGATTTCTGAGGCAAAAATACTGAAGTGGGTTGCCATTTTCTTCTCCATGGGACCTTTTCAATCCAGGGATTGAACCCATGTCTTATGCATTGGCAGGTGGATTATTTACCACCGAGCCACCAGGTAAGCCCCATATTTTGATTTAGCATCTCAATAAAGAAAGTTAAAAAAAAAATGGAAAGACTCTATTAGAGTTACAATGTGCTTTAAGAATTTAGCAAACGAGTTTTCTTCTCATCTTTTAGTTACGACAGCCTCCAGTTAAACGTTTGAGACTTCGTGGTGATTGGTCAGATACTGGACCCCGAGCAAGGCCTGAGAGTGAACGAGAAAGAGATGGTAACTATATTTGGTCAACTTTTAAAAAATTAATATTTTAGCTTGTTTCCATTTTTTTGCTTTATAAGTGATATTGTAACAAACATCTTTGTACATATATCTTTGTACATGTACTTGTGCAAGTGTGTCTTAGGATGAATTCCTAAAAGTGGAATGTGTGGGTCGCTGGATAAGTGGATTTTAATATTGATAGTTATCAAATTACCCTCTGAAAAGTATATACTATTTTGCATTCCCACTGAAAGTCCAAGAATACATTTTTTGCCACAGAAAGATTAGGTATTATCAAACTTTATAATTTTTGCCTTTGTATTTGATATAGAGAGAATTGAAAACTCCCAATTTCCAATCTGAGAGTTTATAAGAGCACGTAAAAAAATTTTTTTTCCCCTCCTATCAGATGCCTTTGGTAAGCATAAGAAATTACTATTTTGGAGTGTTAAGGTGCACATGTAAAATAGAAGTAATGTTTGTGATTTTATATAATAAATGAGTCTATAGCCAAAGTCTTATTCTAATGATTTCTGGAAGCTTTTAAGATCAAAAGCATATTTTCCAATATATTAGTGTTTGTATTATTTGACATCATATTTTAAAATATAAAGCTATATTATATAAAGGTAATAAAGCATAGAATAAATTCTGTTTTCATAGAAAATACAAAAATAGTTCTTATTTTAAATTATATGATTGTAGAATAGAATTATCACAGTGTCAATTTGATGGGATAGTTAATTTGATAATGCCCTTAAGACTGCTCAAATATTTGAAGGAAGAAAAGGGGGGAGGAAAAAGATAAAACATTTTCTGGTTTCATTTAATTTCAACTGTATGTAATTTGCAGTAAATGATGAGGAAAATAAATTCAGTTTAGGGAAATTTAGGTGAGAGGTCATGCTTTGTTTTCAGTCTATCCAACTTAAAATCCATGAGCTCTTCCTATCTGTGTACTCTCAGGCCTAAAGATGTGGGCTGGGGTAAGGGTAGGGGTGTGGGAGTACCTCGGATTGGCAGAGATGCAGGAGGAGCTCAAAATGCAGACAGAGAGTGATTCATATGTACATTTACTGTAAAATGTGATGACAGCCCTAGTAGATTTACATATGCATTCATATAATTTATTTAAGCAATTTAATTTTTTAAAATTGCTTTCACTTTAAAGGCCTTCAAATATAGATTTTTACATTAATGAAAGATCCTGACTGATTACTAAGTTCACTGATAAGACCTGTTTTGTTATCATAGGAGAGCAAAGTCCCAACGTGTCATTGATGCAGAGAATGTCTGACATGTTATCAAGGTGGTTTGAAGAAGCAAGTGAAGTTGCACAAAGCAACAGAGGACGAGGAAGACCTAGATCCAGAGGTAATTTTTATTATTGATTAAAGCTACCAGAAAGCTTGCAAAGACTATTTTTTGAAGTCAGTTTTATTTATATTATTTAGTGTATACCATATTTTATGTCCTTAGTGATCATAAAGTTCTTACTGTATTATGTGGAACAGTAGAGGACAAAGGGTGTTGGGTATTATTTGTTCCTTTAGTTAGCCCTCATTGTTTGCTTTTCTCAAGGAAACTAAGAGAATCTGATACTCTGCCTTGTAAGTCCATTTGTATGTACTCTGAGTGGATGTAGATTAAACTCTGTGGATAAGTAAGTTTTATATAATTGAATAGTTTTCTTCTTTTGGTTATTTATTTACAATGGTTATTAATTGCTATTTCAGGTATTAGCTGACCTGTTTTCATATTTTGGTTCACTACTTTCCAGCTTTATGATCTTGGCAAGTTACCTATCTCTGTCAAAAATCATGAATATTAAAGTTAATTCCTAAATGCTTTAAGTCCCAAAATGAAAATTTCTATTGAATTTCTTTTGTAAATAGTTCTTGTTAAATTCTGCATATATAAACTTAAAAAAATTTCTTAGACTATGGATTTGCTTAAGGGTTATCACATTTGTGCTTAAATTTAAACTAAGATATATTTAAATCAAGATAATTAAAGGAAAAAAAATTTATATTCTATAGTAGCATCTTTTAAGACATGAACTTGATTAATTCATTTTGTATCTTTCTTTTAATAATATAGATTTGAAGCAAAATCAGGAAAGTTTTTAATGTTTATTGAGTATTCTTAATTATTCTGTTGCAGATAGCACAAGGCCTGCTGCAACACATAGCAGATATTCAAGCCTTTTAAAATCATGATTGCATCATGTTAGTTTAGTGGTTAAAGCACTACTGCTAATGAAATGGCAATTGGGAACTTAATCCCATTCGGACCTAATTGTAGCTTTACTCTTGTTAATAAAAGTTTTTATTAAATATTTTCCAAGGATATTATTATGTTACAGAGTGGAAATATATTAATATAAGTCCCTTATCCTTTTGTTGTTGTTCAGTCACCAAGTGGTGTCCAACTCTTTGTGACCCTGTGGACTGCCGCATGCCAGGTTTCCCTGTCCATCTATTAAATCAGAATTATCATCTTCAAACTTAAGGAACAAGACATTATTTACAGGCATCTTGCAAGCTGTTATTTAGCTTTGTCCAAGTCAAGCTACGATGTTGAGCATTTTGCTTGGAAGGTTGATTATGTAACAGGAATGTGCCGTAGGTAGGTTTTTTACCCCTATTAATTAGCATGTTTGGTTAAGGTACCAAACCACCAGTGGGTACTTTTGATATTCTGAAATTATCTATTTCTCTGTGTATGTGTGTGCACATATATTTCTTGAGCGTATCTCTTTAGAGGAGTTAGTTTTGGAAAGCGTTTGGTATTTCAGTTTGTATTACAATGTGTTTTTGAAGGTGGGACGAATCAGTCAGATGTTTCAGCTCTTCCTGCGGTCCCATCAAGTGCTGATTTGGATGCGGGTGAAACTGCAATGGAAGTAGATGCCCCAGATGAGCAGTTTCTTCAGCCTTCTGCGTCCTCTGCCGTGTCAGCTCAGGGCCATTTGGCGTCACCTTCTACAGAAGGCCCTCATTCTGCTTCTGTGCTGTCTTCTCCAGACAGTGACCAAAGGCAGTCTGTTGAGGCATCTGGACACCATACACATCATCAGTCTGGTGAGGATGTTATTCTTTAAATAGGCTGTGATTCATCTGATGATTTTTGATAATGGAAACATTTTAATGGGTTATTTTGAAAGGAACTGAATTACATCAACTTATTCTTGCTGAAAAAAATGATCAAAATTACTTGTAATACATGAATATGTAACTTAAAAACAGAATTCAAGTGTGCCTCGCTTGCATGAATTTTATCACATAGCAGGAAACTTCACTTTACCCAAGACAATTCTTTATAAAATGTAAGTATCAGAAGATAGTGTTTAGACATAGTTTAATGTATTGACTTAGTGATTATTTTTATAGGCCATTATAGACCATTATGGAACAAAATTTCTTTCTTAGGCTTTAATGAAAATATAGCCCTGATTATTATTAGTTACTTTGTATTTATTTATTTTTAAATTATTTTTCTTCAAATCATGAAATACTTTCAATATGTTCTTTATGGTGAATTTTATATGGTCTTTTGTTATATGTATATGCAATTTACCGAAAGAATTATTTCTCCTTTGTTTACATGAAAAAAATTTTAACAGATCTTGGTCTTCTTGGTATTTGATGTTAATGAAAAAAAATCAACTTCTCAATTCTACTAAAATTGTATTTTCTTTTCAGTATTCCTCATGTTCACACACCCCTCCTCCATGGAATGTACTACTGTTTACATCAGTAATTTAGCGTATGTGTCTGTAGCTTACTTGGCATTTTAACTGTATACATGTAATTAATAATAACCAATAAGATGTTCATTCATATTTTTCTTTGGGATTTTTAAGGAAGTATTTTACTCATATATAATTAAAAATGTTAGCAACTAAAGATACAGCTGGAAGGCCTAAGCTAAAACCTATAAAAAAAATTCCTAACAGCTTTCCTAACTGCCAAGTTGGTACTTTATTCTTGCTTCTCTGAAATCTGATACCAGATCACCAAATATAAGGTGTTTTAAATTAAGCACTTTTATCAGTATATCCCAGTTTTGGTAATTTATTTTCAATTTCTATGAGAGTAGAAGCCAGAGTCAGTTACATGACAGTTAAATAATAGATGTGTATAATTTACCTATAGCAATGAGCTAAAGATGAGCTATAAAATTAGGTTTTCCACATTCTCATTGATACAGCATTTCAAGTTTTGGGGAAATAACATATTTTGGAGGGTTTGGGAAGCTGGGACAAAATCAGCTAAAAGTTTGCTTTCCAAAACAAGTAAAATTGGTAAAAATAAGAGTTTTTGAAGTGATAACATTCTTGGGAATACTCTTAAAGAGTCTGATCAATTGTAAGTTTGATCACAGCTTAGCAAGAAGATTGTCTATCTCATTTTTATGCTCCACTGAATCTTACCTGATTCCAGTTGTTTCTTAAATACATTTCTGAGTATACTACCTTGTAGGGAATTTCATTTTTCCATTTTGTCATAGCTTCTTAACACATTCTAGTACTGCATTTCAGATTATTAAATCCTTTTTAATATTTGATGTAAGTATTAGATACTGCAGTCATTGAATCATTAAAGAAAAAAAAATTTTGTGATGATCCTCTGACATTGAACATTACTTAGCACTTTTGTCTATAAATTTTTCAAAGATAAGAAAGACTTAACTGGTAGGTTATGGAAAGAATTTCGGCTGACCAAACTATGGAAAATGGGGATATTTCCATGTTACTAAGATAGTATTGCTACTGAGGAAAATGATTTGATGTTAGATGTAACATCTAAAGATTATGTCTCTGATTGTTTTGACAATAGGCTTTAGCATTTTAACAATAAGGACTTAATGCTCTTTATGTTGTGTTTTGTTTTTTCAATCTTTTATTCAGTTCTAAGTCCAGATGGGTTTTTGAGTGGTAGGAATTGCCTATACTGGTGGGAGTGTCATGTTGGAACCATGATTTCTGTTATTGTCTTGCATAGAAATAGAGAAAATGAAAACATATGCTTCTTGCTTTTTCTGTGAATATCTCTCTATTGTAAATGTTTGTATTTTTCATTTACGTCCCTTCCTTTTCTTCTGTCACTTTTGCTGGGGTGAAGGAGAGGCACAATGGGAATGTGAAGACTTGCTGGGCAGCACTCCATCTCATTGAACCGAATTATTTGCTTCTCTTAGTCTGTAACTGAGTCACTGAATGTTAGTGAGGAGATTTATGACCACAGATTTCACTGGGTGCTCCGCACTGCGTGTTAGAACAGTCTTTTAACACAATTGCTCTCCAACTGTCAGTTTCACACCTTATGTCTCTCAGACTTCTAGCACTACACTTTGTTCTCATCCTGCTCCCTAGCTGATAATCTTCTTTCATTCATAGTAGGGGGAAAAAAGCATTCACTTTCCTGCTTTTGAATCTCTCAACTTTCCAGCATCTATACTCACATTGTCTAAGACAGAAGTGGTCACATTGTGGGAAGAAGTGTATCTGCTCCTAACAGAAGCTAACCAGTGCAGTTTCCATCTCTTTCCATCTTTTCAAGGAGTTTTCTCCTTGTCCTGCATCTTTATTATTATTACCTTTTCTACTGAATTTTTCTTTTCTGCCTCAAACATGCTCTGTTATTATCTTGTCTTAAAAAAAAATCTCTTCATTGTCCCACATCCCCCTCCAGACCCATGTCTTTGCTCCTTTTATAATCAGAGTCTTCATGAGAGTAGCTGACATATACTGTCTCCTTTTTCTCACCATGTTCCACTTACTTACCAACCAACCCTAATCTGCCTTTTAACTTCCTTTTTCACTGAAAGTTTTTGTCAAAGTCACTAGTGACTTCCATTTTGCCCCTAAAGTATACTTCTTTCTTTTAACCCATTTGTATTTAGCATAGTCTGTCACTTCTTTCTTGAAGCACTTTTCTTTTTTGGCATCTGTGATACCACTTTTGCCTACTTAACTCTTACTAGCAATTCTGGTTTTCAGTAACCATTGTTGATATTTCTCATTCTATAATTACTTGTCAATATTTTAGTAGAACCCCATAGCCTGTGCTGTCTTCTCTACATGAACTCTGTCCCTCATAAAATTGTATCAATTTCTGGAGCATTTAATATCTCCAAATGTATACTGACAATCTGATCTTCTACCCTGAGTTACTTACTCCTGTGTCCAACTGTTTATTTAACACTTTGTTTTGGTTATCTTTGCTGTGAATAGATATCCAGTAATTTATTGTTTTTGGTCTAATATGTCCAACTATAATTTATCTTCCTTCCCTTCCTATCTCACTAATCTCTTTCATCTTGATCATTTCATATCTTAGTAAATTATAATTACTGCTTATTTTCTTATTTTAACAGACTATGGGTTACTGATCTGATTCCTTGCTTTCCTTCATGTCCCTCACCCAATTCATCATCTATTTTCTCTGTATCTAAGATACCCTTTACTTCTTTTCATCTTACTGGATTGGCCAAAAAGTTCTTTCAAGTTTTTTGCACAAGATGTCATGGAAAAACCCGAATGAACTTTTTGGCCAACCCAGTACTCCTATTCCCTTATACTTTATTCTCCATGAGGCAGCCAAAATGAGTATTTTAAAATATTAAATCAGATTTTGTAACTTTGCCATCTAAAACTCCTCAAAGACTTTTGATTGCATTTTAAATATAAATAAAAGAGGAAAAAGAACTGAATCTTTATGGCTGGTGCCTTGTCTACCTTTCTAGGTTCGTTTCGTACCGTACTCTGTCTTCCTAATGATCATCACACGTAGCTGTACTGATTTCAGTTCAGTTCCTTGAATATGGTAAGCTTTCTTTTGCCTCTTTCTTTTGGATTCTGAGTCTTTGTAACAAACTTACTGATCTCTGTACTTGAGAAGCTCTTCCCTTGGTTCTTCCTTTTTTTTTTGGTTCTCAGCTCAAATATCACCCAAGGGAGGTCTTTCATAACTCTCAGAGCTAGGTTCATCTTCCTTTCCTTCCTGCCCCAAAATTTTATTGTGTCTTGTATAGCCCTATTGTAATTATTTTATTTTTTATAGATTTGTTTATGACTATTTTCTCATTAAAATATGCTCTCATAAAGACAGAGATTTTATCTATCATAAGTTTCTCAAAGATACTGTTAAGTCCTTTTAAGCTGGTATAACCTATGTAATGTATATTTAGCTATTTGATAGTCTTTATAGTTTCAGTTCCATTTCATTCATTCTGGATGTTTCCAGTAGGCTCCACAAATTTGATGATATGTAGGGAAGATGCTGTGAATAGATATCCAGTAATTTATTGTTTTTGGATTCATTATTTGCCCTTAGCCTTCCAGACAACATAAGACTGGATACTTCTTTCTTACTTTGTTCCAGAAATACTTTATGGTAACTTATGGAAATACTCCTAAAAAAGCATTTTGATACGATGAAATCAGGACAGGTAAAATATGGGTAGGAGAAAAAAATGGAGCCACAGTGACATGAATATATAAAGTATGTGCCTGAAGAGTAGTGTTAGAGGGGCCGCTGAATTGACTTTGAGTTTTGTAGCTGAATTAGGAAGATAATATACTCAAGTGGAATTTGAAGTCAGTTGGTCACTCTTTTAAAATTTTAATTTCTTCACCCTTTGTATTCTTGAATTTTATTTTTATTCACATAGACCATTTGAAACTACATTCTGTATACATAGCACAGAATCTGATTAGACATTTTGTTTCTTATTCGTGGTCTTTTCTTGAATGTTTAACAAAAGATGGTGCTTTCCAAAGTATGGTTATAAGATTACCTATTTAAAGACCAGAAAGGTATGAATATGAGCTGAAACTATATAAGGTTAAAATGAGATCCTCATAATTTTATTTATAAAAAATATTTCAAAGTAACTACAAAATATTTTTTTCTTTCTCAATAATGCCTATCAGACATCAGTTTTAGTTGTTTCTCAAACTAAGCCTTTGTGTGTTATTTGTAATTTTTTCCCATGGTAAGGAGCTTCTTGTAATGAGAGTGTGTTAAATGAGACAGTCATTCTAATGTGTTATACTTTAATTTCCTCCTTTGGTCTT